AAAAAGTTAAAAAAAAACAAAATACAAAATCAGCAAAATAAAAGATATATAAAATTATATGCTAAACAAGTTTACTTAAAAGGTTGAAACGGATTGTATTAGTAAAAAAAAAAGTATTATATAGATAAAATAAAAAAAAATTTAATGTTTATATATAGCAAACTTTTTAGATTACATGTAATAATGACTTTACAATTAACAAAATTTCTTTTTATAAAATTCCGTTAAGGAAATATGCAATTTTTACGAAATTTTAAAAAAGTGTTTTAAATAACCTACTATTTTTGATATACTTAACCCCAAAATTTGAAAATAAGTTAATTTGTACGTAAGTTGAAAATTAAAGTTTATACGTAATAAATTCTTATAGTTTTATTATAATTTATCACTTTATGTGACATATTCCCTGACTGATACATATTCGTGTAACATTAACAGGTTATGTCTAATAATTAGCCAATTAAAAGGCTAAAGTTGACAGACAGGCGGAATAATTTTATATTACAATTATTCGAATATAACAAAACTTAAAATGATAATATTAATTAATAGATTATTAATTAATTTAGTTAATTAATTCAGAGAGAGTTTTTAAAAAAAGAAGTATCGAGCATAGTGGTAAATGAAGATTCATTAAAATTACATTACATATATATTTTTTTCTAATATGAAAAAAAATGAGGATAATAAAATATGTAGTACGTCTATTATATAAATATATTATATTACATCATAAGATTTATCAACTATTATGGATAGTTGTCTTTGAGGCTTCTTGAATGATGAATGTTTTGATGAATGTTTTGAGGTATGTTTTGAGGCAGCAGTGTGGCGTCTCTCGATTCTTTTTTGACGATTAACAAATGACATAAGTGTCATTGCAAAGTATATCTGTAATAAAAAGCAATAGTTTAATTAGATTATTTATATAAAAAATAGAAACTTGTTGAGAAAATATATATATATATATTTACATGAAAAACAATTTGTATAAATGCCAGTATTACAATCCAAACAACGTAAGAGTTTGCAAATTGAATACTGCTGGAAACAGTTCGATTGAAGATCGCGCTGGTTATCGTGGCTATAAGTACTAATACAGTGTTTATGAATACCGCAATTAACCAAGCGGCATACATATATTTTTGCATGAGTGACGTTGATCTCTAAAAAAAAAAAAAAAAAAAAAAAAAGGGATTACGATATGCTTGTGGTATTTGACTTAATGTACGAAAAAAAAAAAAAAGAGATGCGTACGAATACATAATAAGCAACGAGACCAAACACACTCATCAAAGTGAGCAAAACGCCATAACAACAAGCGAGGATGATCACTGGTCTGAAAAATACTAAGAATTAAAGAATAAGTATAATTAATAATTTTAGGATTTTAGAAGTAATTTTAAGTGGAATAAAATAAATATTATACTAGACCTACCAGGGTTACCACTAGTATTATTATTATTAACATTATAATCTGCAATGATACCGTTGTCAGTAGTCGTCGATATAAAGTAGAATACAACAGTTACGACCAAACCCTCTATCTAAATAATATAATAAGATAGATCTTTAGCACGTGACAATAAGACATTTTACAAAAATGCACTAAAGCTAAGGATATTAATCGGTCTCGTAAAAATTAAATTGTTAAGCCATGGGTGAGATATTAATTGATCACTTGATTTTAAATTTTATCCGGCTTTAGTGCATAAATTGCATAAATTGTATAAATTGTATAAACTGCATAAAGTCGAATTAATTACCATCCATGCTAAAGTTGCAATTATGAAACCAAATCTTAGCCCTATACAAAAACAAAAATGATCGTTTTCATGTTTCTTTGTTGTTGGGTATGAACTCATCATTTATTATTAATGCGTTATTATAATAAAACAAGTAATAGACTTTTATTATATATTAATGAGTTATTATGATAAAGTAAGTAATAGACTTTTATTATATATTAATGAGTTATTATGATAAAGTAAGTAATAGACTTTTAGTAGATTATATTTATTTAAAAAGTTTGGTTCTTTGAGAAAAAAGAAATTAAAAACTCTAACACGATCGATAGAGATTCATAAAAGGAAGCAAAATCAAATCATGAGCGTTTATAAAAAAATTGAGGAATATAAAGAAATTGAGGAATATAAAGAAATTGAGGAATATAAAGAAATTGAGGAATATACGGAAATTGAGGAATATAAGGAAGGAGTATAATGAAAATTGAGGAGTATAAGGAAAGTGAGGAATATAAAGAAATTCAGGAATATGAAGGTGATATTGTATGATATTCAAATTAATTGATTTGGGACAGATTGACCAGTAGATGAAACATAAATTTACGAAAATCTGAAAGTCCAAGAATAAGATCGATACTTTAATTAATAGGAAACCGAGAATATCTTTACTCATCAATCACATGTATATTGTGATAAATCCTGTGCTTATTATTCGGGGTGTTTATTATTCGGGTATGGATAAATTTGTACGGTTATTCAAACCGTACAGTCACAAAAACGTTGTATTAACGATTAAATTAGAGAATTAGCATAAACATTCATAAACATTGCGCTAAAAAAAGATTTGTAAAAAAAGATTTGCCGGAAGAAATCGATATTTATATCTTTTTTTATACCTTTTTTAAATGTATGCACTTATGTTCTCTAAATGCACACTAACTCAGTTTTAAGCTCAGTTCAAAGTTCATAGAACTTTAAATCCCCTCTAAATTATACATATATACATGAATATCTATGAATATCTCATGGGATATATAGTTTTTAAATACCGAATTTGCAAAATTGTACTGACTATAAATCACTCTAAGTGCACGTACTGGTTCGTTCTCTATAAATGCACCCCTCTTTAAATGCGTTGACCCAATACAGAATAAACAGCAATAAACAACAATAAACAGTATTCATTTAAAACCCATTTCTAATTAAGGAAAAAAAA